ACGGGCTTTTTTTTCATTTACAGACATGTTTCGAGAGTATAATGGCTAACGACACTTTAGGATGAAAATATTTAAAAACAAAAGACATATATTTAGAATTTTCGATAGACAGTCTCTCGCACTGGAGATAAAAATGTTTTACTGCGTACAGTATTGCCATTGCTCGCTTTGAAAATTGTCGAGTTTGTTAATCAAAAATTCGTTAAGTTTTACACAATATGAAATAGATAATAAAACAAATTCCAAATTTGGGCTTCCAGATGCCAATATCCAGGTGCAAACATACGTTATTCAAAATTGGATGGCTCTAGGTACCGTTGTTTTATCCCAATGCGAGAGACATACATACATTTATGTAGATTCTTCGTTATTTAATTTCTTTAAATGCAATAAAGGGCGATAATATTTGGCGGCAACAATTTGAAAAGTGAATCGGACATTTATAGTGAACCAACGCAAAATACCAAGACGAAATTAATAATCCTTCAGGGCAAATTGCTCCTATGGACTAATAATAAATAAATAGAAATTTAATTTTGCCTTTATGTTATTATTATTATTATTAGGGCTTTAGTTCGAATGGGCTATAGTCTCGAAATAGAATTTTGCGTCTTCTACTATAAACGCTTCTATAAACGCACTATAACGTCTGTCACCAAACATTAGAGCCTCGGATTATTTTTAAAGAAATGAAGTAATAAAGAATCTAAACGTATGTATGCGTCGCACTGTGAATAAAGACGTTATGTACCATCGTTTGATTTGAAGTTTTGAATTTGAAAACGTAGTCCTCCACCCAAACATGTGTACCTGGAAGACAAAATTTCGAATATCGAATTTTTTATTTCATATTTTATAAACTTTGATAGATTTTTGATTAATAAACTCAATAATTTGAAAGCGAGTAATGCCAACACTGTACGGAATAAAACATTTTTATCTCTTTGTGAGACTAGAAATTCTAAAGATATGCTGTTTTTTAACATTTTAACATTTTGCTGTTGAACGTAATTTTATGTAAATACGAAGAACATGATATTTAATTTATAAATTTAACACAGAAAACGTTAATAATAAAAGGTACATTGATGGCATTCTTCGATTTATTATTAGAAAACGTTAATAATAAAAGATCCATTGATGGCATTCTTCGATTTATTATTTTGGGCAATTCTACTGCATCCACACTTCTATTCGTAATGCAACTATTTTCTATATTGCAGTGTAACTACATGCCCATTCTTTTGCAAAGACAAACGCAAAAAATTCGCAGCTGAAGTGTCCTTTCTTACAGCCACTGCTTCACACAACATCTTTTCGGATCGAAAGAATTCGGAAAGTAGGACAGAGCGGAAGCAAGTTGCTAAAATGATATCAAACTTTTAAATTTAAGAGTAAAACGCTCTTTCTATTGTAACAATTAAGTAAAATTTCTAATTAAAGTACTCCTCGAAATATTGGTATTCGAAAATTATTATTTGTGTTTTGTAAATAATCGTTTGAATTCTATAGTTAAATATGAGTTAATATTAAAGGCAATAACGTATCACATTTTAACTAGTAATGTTATGTTTTTTTAATGAATAGAAAAAGCAAATGCTTCAATCTCTGCCAAGATGAAGGTGATGCCACTGCTAACGCTGTAAATAATGAATAAAGTCACTACAAGTAACTACTAAAGCAAACAATAACTAAAATAAAGTAAATCATGTCTTAGTTCTTTTATCTCATAATACCTTAAAATGAAAGTCAAAATTGTTGTCAGAATGTAAATCAAAAATTTAGATCATAATAACAAGGTTTATAACAACTTATTGATTTTATTGCTAGAATTTTAAAATATGGTATTTTAATCTCTCTGTATAAAGAAGAAAGTCTGTGTGTTTGTCTTCTAATAACTCAGTCACTACTCTAGCTATCGTCACCAAACTACTATAGCTATCGTCACGCAGTCTTTTCTGGCTCCTGGAAAAGGTCGACGTACACCTTTTTCCAAAACAAAATAACTAAAATCAGAGATATTAATTAAAAACTCGGAAAAACGATAATTTTCGTCCTCATTTTTCCGACTGGGAACAGTCTCGCAAGCTGGAGATGAAAATCTGCTTTATTTCGAAAGTTGTTGCCACTGCTCGATTTCAAATCCTAGAGTTCGTTAATAAAAAATTTAGAAGTTTTACGTTGAAATAAAAATAGCATTGCCAAACATTAAATACATTATTATCGATTCCGAAAATTCGTGGGAAGCCATTTCGGCTATTCCTATCTTCGTACGACTTTAATCAGCCGAAATATTAATTAAAAACTCTAAAAACACTCATTTTTCCGAGTGGCAACAAGGCCGCGCGTTGGAGATGAAAACGCTTTATTTCGAAAAGTGTTACTACTAATGCTCGCTTTCAAATCACAGAGTTTGTTAATCAAAAATTTGTAAATTTTACAAAATCTATGCATATAAAGAAGAATGAATGTCCGTTTGTGTGTTTGTTTGTTTGTTCGCGTTATTGATTTCTAATCATTATGATAAATTTTTTGTCATATTTAATCGACTGAAATTTAATATAGGTGAAATATTGGATGGAAGTTGAGCCTTTATGACCATTTGATTAGGAGGGCTAAAATCATTAACATCTGCATTGCATTGTTGCTGATATAATGAGAGAAAATTAGCTTATTTTTATGTCTATATTTTTCATGTGTGTTCTATATCACATCAGACTGAAAACTGAATGACTATGAATCATTTTTTGTGCATTGTTATTCGAGAAGGATTACAGCGGTATCGTTCTCTCTGTTGTTATATGCATTACTCTCAATCTAACTTAACGGATACTTCCGCTGGTTATAAATACAAGGTTTTACGAGCTGTGTTACTAAGAAAATTTAACATTGATATGATAAACTTATAAAAGATTAAAAAAAAAAAAAAAAAAAAAAAAAAGAAACAGAAAAATGTATTCCAACACTTAACAGGAATTCTAAATATATGCTGCTTTTAATATTGTTTTAATTTTGATTTTGAATTGGTGTAAGTGTGGGAAAAGTGGGTGTTAATAATAGAGCTAAAATTCAAAAATAAATGGGTTAGCAGGGGTGAGTGGCAACAGCAGGCTGGTAGACTGAGAGCTCAGCGAGAGCGTAAAGAAACTTAACAAACCTTTTTGGTCGACCGTTAATATCTGAACCCCATCAGAAGTTTCTTTGTTTTTATAGTATTATTGTTTACGTATGTTTTGATAAATATTTATTAATTTAAAATTTGGTTAAAATATTTTTATATTGTTAAAAAGTAACTCATTTTATTAAAAAAACACATTTCGACCCTTCATCCACTTTCAGATCGTACATTCGGCTCACAAGCAGCTGGAGTCTGAGACCGTTCTACTGTACTAATTAAACTGTTAAATTTTGTTATCGAAATGACTGAAGTTTAAGATTTATTATATGCTGACGAAGAGTTATCTTAAATTTAATTTTATTCTGCTGTTTAACAAATTTCAATATACGCCCCCTTGCTTTGAAGTATATGGAATTTAGCTGAGGTATTACATGTATTGCTAAATAATGATGAATGGAAGAGGGTAAAGGATTTAACTATGTGCAAATGGCATTTTACTGTGAAGTGAAAAATCGTTGAGAGAATTAGGAAATACTGTTCTTCGGTGTTAATTTACAGCTATAGTTATTGTGTAGCTTATTATGTTGCCGAAGACAGATTTTTAAGCTAACTATAATTTCAGGTTTGCCTCTGCAAGCAGCGCTTTGAAAATGAGAGTACTGACTCGACATATGATTTTGTTTCGATAATAAGTTTAAAGTAAACAACTGTACCAGAAGATAACATCCCGTTCGTTTTCTACAGCGAAGTTAAAAGTTATCTGAAGAGTCTTTTACAATCTCATATTAAGAGTTACAATTTCTTTTTTATAATCTATTAAAGAATGCAATAAAATTTTGATGCAAAACGTGCACCCATATTTCTTGAAACATTCACATTTGTGAAAACTTCATCACTGTAGTTAAAACGAATTGGAAATGAATAATTTAAGATGAGCACACGGAAAATGTCGCTTTCAAAACTTCTTCAGAATTTAGTATAACTTTCATTAACTTTCGGCAATAATCTCTAAACTCATTTCCTTTTAGAGTTCGCGAATAAATTCTTTCTTCAATGAGCAAAGAATTTTAACTTTGGTGATTTTCCAAAATGGCGAATGTAACTGTTGTAAAGAGAGAAGTAGAGGGCGCTGCTTTGGCAGTAGCGCAATGCATGTAAGTAAAAACGAAATGTCGTTTTTGATTAGGCAACATGATTTCTGTGAATGTAGTCCACCTAACAATAGGACAGTTGTAAATATGTAAATAACGGATAATAAATAGCATTAGAAAACTGAACCACCGGATGTTTTTTGTGTCCCTCTTCGGGCCGCCATGGAAAAATGCAGGTTCGTTACAGTAACTAAGCAAAGAACACACATTAAAATTGTTTTTAAATTGAGCTTCTGATATCGAAAAATTTAAAATATTTCAAACAACATTTCAGAATAATACTTTATCAAAAACAAGAATTTTTGGATGTTATAAAATGTTTAAGAAAACTATAGAATGCGCCAATGGTGAACCAAACTCTGATAAACTGTCCACTTATAAACATTACCTTAGTCAGGTCAAAGATTTGGTGCTTAGTGATCATTGTCTGAGAATTAACGACATTACTAAACAAGTAGATCTAGGCTGTTCAATAAGACTAATTTTACTGCCGCGAAACCACTCATTGTAATGTTAATTTCTGTGGCATAAAAAAGTTTGTTGTCTGTATTTAGAAAAGCTACCGATAGATGGCGTGTACAGGCTCATGTTTTTGAGTATCACGTGATTAAACTGAAGCGTGTTTGCGGGCGCCTACCCGGCCAGTTGTCGAAATGGAAGCGTTGGTGGAATAACGTTATGCGATTAAATTTTGTGTTCGTCTGCAAAAATCAGCATCGGAGACTTTTGACATGATACTTGAAACTTTCAACGACGAAGCATTAGCAAGGGTAAGTGTTTTTTGCTGGCATAAAGCTTTTAAGGAAAGCAGGCAAAATGTGGAACATAGTGAACGTAAGAGACAACCTTCAACGTCTGTCACAGAGACAATGATTAACACAGTTGCGGTTATCATCAAGGAAGACCGCAGAATCACAGTACGTCAGCTGCATGCTCTCTTGAATATTTGTGTAGGAAGTGTTCACTCAGTCATGGCAGAACATTTGCAACTGAAACGTGTTTGCGCGCGATGGATTCCGAAATTGTTGACATCTGAGCAAATGCAGCATAGAATGGATGTGTGCACAGAATGGAAAAAAGGACTGGAACAAGAAGCCGACAATTTTTTAAAACGTATCATCACAGCAGACGAAGCTTGGTTGTATCACTATGAAACAACAAAGTAGTGAATGGAAGCATCCGTCTTCGCCTACTCCCAAGAAAGCAAAAACTGTGAGATCGGCTGGTAAAGTTATGACCATAATTTTTTTGATTATGAAGGAATTGTGTATCAACATGCTGTCGAGCCCGGTAATACCGTAAACAGCTCGTACTACGCGAATGTCCTACGAACAATGGTACAGCACGTTCAAAGGTAACGTCCATTGCTCCGAAATGGCTTCCTATTGCATCATTACATTGCCCGACCACATACTGCTCGTTGCGTATAGGATGTTTTGCAGCAGAACAACGTAGAGATTCTACCGCACTCTCCATACAGTCATGATCTCGCTCCATGCGATTTCTGGCTGTTTCCTGAACTTAAGAAACCATTACGAGGCAAACATATTGCAAGCAACAAAGAATGTGTAAAGGCTGCAGAGGCAGTTTTGAAAAAGCTCTCAAAAAACCGGCTTTTACATGTTTTTCAGAAGTGGACAGAACGTTGGGATAAATGCATAAATGCAATCAAGATGCTGAATTTGTCCTTCAATTATCATCCTATCATGAATGACAGGGAAGTTCTCAGCAAAAGTTCATTCATCAGCAGAAATTCTACGTTAGCCGTCGAATTTCAGAATCAGGAGTAGAAGAATCCGAAGAATCAGGAGTTTGTAGAAAACGGCATAAATTATGGCTAGAAAACTTCTGGATTTTGTATCACGAATATGTACCTCCTCACATTTACCTATGTATCTTCGTTGAAAAATACACAGATACAGTCCCATATTCACCTGAAATAAAACCGCTCGACCTTTACTCATTTCCATAGTTAAAAATGCCATTACCTGGTCACTGTTTTAAATATTAATAGAATAAAAGAAAATTCGCTGAAAGTCTTGAAACGAATTTCGTAAATGATTTTAAAATACATTTCCAAGACTGGGAAAAAGTATGCCAGCGTAAGAGCATTGCTATCAAAGAGTTTGAAGTTAATATATTAAATTTTGACCAATGAATTTTAGAATTTTTGATTTGTGGAATTATTCCATTTCCATTTTTATCACAGTTGTAATTCGTTGTAATTTCGACAAATAAATTTGAGTGGGTCGTGAAAAAAGAATGAAGGAATTGAGAAAAATTTTCATATTCAGAAGTGATAACAAATAAAAATGTTTGTGAAAAATGCTTTCCAATAAAATCGTTTAGAAGTTTTCAGTAATAAACCGTCGGAAAAATATGAAAACTACTACATGCCCATATTTTGCTGTTTTTGAAGAGAAGTATTTTCTGAAAATTTAAAATGTTTTACGTCAAGAGATTGAATCATCTATTCGATGAATGCATGAGCATTTATGTGTGGAATCTGTAATTCGATATTCTTAAATTCAAGCTGGTGTAGAATTTTTAAACATTTCTTTCTTAAAGCTGCGATTTTGCAGTTTCTTGATTTTAGTGTGGCGCAGACTGTACGAGCTTGTATGCTGTTAACTGAACTTGTGACTAACTTTAAATTTATGTATAATTTTGCAAAAATTATTTATTACTATTGATAGAGATACGATGTAGTGCACAAGATTAATCTGTACTTATGTAATTAGTTAAGAATTACACAAAAAAGAACACAGAAAATTTATTTGAGTCTTGAATCAGTAGATACATTACAATGAAGTACAGTTAGTTACAATTACACTACGATCATAAGTACACTAATTTCTTGAAGATTAAACATCATTATTTACAATTACAAGCACACCAGTCATAAGTAACTGCAAGAGACATTGAGCAAAAATTTTAAGAACTTTCATGAACGACATATATGTAAAATTTTCATTATTAAATGTATAATCTTTTTAGATATCAGTAACATAAATGGGAATAATAGTATTTTTAAATTAACAGAGTTTGGTTTAAATAAAACAAGAGCTTATGAAAACAATTTTCGGTTTAAATTAATAAATTTTAGGTAAATTAAGAATAATGACAAGTGAGCTTGAGCCCCTTAGCTCAGTTGCCATTTTGTATTTCCTAGTAAATCCTTTGCATTAAAAGTATGAAAGCTCAATACTCTATTGAAACTGAAGCTCAAGAAGATCAGACATTTTTATATGCCATTTTTAATTTTCAGAAAGTTGAACAACAGCCAAACATCTCGTAAAATTCAAAATAATAGGCATACAGATGTTGAGAGAGATATCGTAGAATAAGACTGAAAAATATCTTGAAGCACACAGAATGTAAAATACTTAAAGAAATCAGCGTATAATTTCTAATTCCTGCAATGTTCAGAAGTTGACTAATAATACAAAAACACATGTTAAGAAAGTGCAATATCCTTTTTAAATAAATTCTTATTTTCCCCTTAGAAATTAAATAATAGTTAAGCTATATTAAAAAGCAAAAACCAAAATTAAACTTTAATTACTCGTAATTCTTCAGATTAAAGTTTATTTACTAATTTACTTTTTTATTTACTAATGTTATTTTCTGAAGTTCTTTCGATAATGACCGATGACAGCTAAACTTATTTTGGAAAATTCTTTCTCTGTTGAACTGTATTTTTGTCTTGCAAAGAGTAGTTGTTTATTCAATGACGCTTAAAATATCCTTTTTAATTTTGTTTTCTGATAATATGCTCTTTATATAAGAAATGACCAGACGAAATGTTTTATTTGTTACAAATTAATTAGAACTTTTAACTCCATTAGATATTAATGAAATATAGACTTCTTGCATGTTATTAACATATAACAATGTTCTTTACTATAAAATATAGTTTAAATTTGTAAGTGATGCTATGTTTATAAATAATTTCAGAATATGCTACAAGTTGAAAAAATATTACTGGTTAATTGATGGAAGAAGAATAGAACATTTATTAGACTGACTGCAAGCATGAAGTAAAATTTGAGATTAAAATTCTGTTAATTCTGTCTCACGAGAACTATAGTAAAATTATAGTAAACTGAGAGACATAAGAATCAAGATTGATTTGTAAAGCAAAGTAAAATATTGTACTATGTCCGTCCAGTCCATTGTGCAGTAGCTATTATTGCGAAATATCAATTTAAAGTGAATTTGTTTCGCTCAACAATACCCTGATCTTAAAAAAAATTACTATACTTATAGAAACGTCGTGTTATGCAATTGAAACAAACATTGCAGGGCACTGCCATTCCGTTTGGAGTTATAATGTACGGCATATGGAAATCTCATAGTTTATAGGATACAAAGAGAAAGTGTTCAAGCATCGTTGAATCTTGCCTTACTATTACAACAGAACGTGTTCAACCTTCAATCCGAAGCGAATTTTAAAAGTTAATTAGATAAAGGTAAGCTGCCCAACCGTTGGAATGGTTAGGGTCGCTGACTGCCGTGGCGAAGGCCTAAGAAACCTAGGCTGGCGTTGAACACGTGGAAACAAATGGCAGCAGTTTGCTGGGATGTCCAGGGCATTCTTCTCGTGGACTGGCTGGAGCCTGGATGCACCATCCACAGGGATCGGTACTGTGAGGTTGCCAGAACGGTGCGACGGCGCATTCAACAGCGGCGTCCGGGCAAATGGGCACGGCTCGTGCTGTTGCAGCGCGACAACGCACGTCCCCACACCAGCCAGAGCACCCGCGACACTCTAGAGGCATTGGACTTTACTGTGTTGCTACACCCTCGGTACTCGCCCGATCTGGCCCCCTCGGACTACGCCTTGTTTGAGAAGATGAAGGACGCAGTAAGTGGCCAACATGTTGAATCTTCTGCCGAATTGCATGCAAGTGTCAGTAGGTGGTGCACCAACACCCCCACAGACTGGTTTACCTTACCACCCAGCCAGATGGCAGAAGTGTATTGACTTGGGCGGGGATTATTTCTAACTGATGTACTATCCTTTTTTGTTAACAAATTGTATTCCGCTATTTTTTTCATTCATTTCTGTACGACCTAAATACTTAAGAAGACATTTTTGTGCCTATATTTCGCCACAAAATGATCTGCAGGCGTTGGATAATTTTATTGTAGCACACATGTAAATCTCGTAACAAGACTTTTTAATGACATAACTTCTGTGACTTAATTTTAAATTTCGTTAATAGAATTTCGACTAATTAGGAAATTTAGGATTTTTGATCAATCAGTCAGTTTTAATGGAGGAAAGTTTGTACCAAGATAATGATAAAAAGAATATTTTAAGAGTGTTTACATATCTTCAAAACTGATAGCTAATAATGTATAATTCACTGATTTTAAATGCATAAAATTAACAATTTTTCAAATTAAATATTCTCAAAATTAACATACTTGAGAAGTCTTAGAAATAAAATAACAGTGCATAAACGGAACTCGAAATGAATTTTCTTCAAATTTGAGAATTCTGAACATTTTCGCAGAAGTTGAAAAATTAAAAAATTGAAAAATCTTTGTTAAAAAGGAAATGAAAAATTATGCTTTTTTAAAAAAAATAATGAAGCAAAATGAATTTTCTTTTGAATTTTATGTTTAATAAAATGTCATTCTGTAACATTAACTTAGCATTGCACATTCTACAGTTTCAACATGAGATTTTAGAAAATATTCAGTATTTAAGCTATTATCCCTTTATTTCTCAATAAAGGCAAGGAGTTTAATTTTGCATTTGACTGTGATATTACAAATAAACGTGCTTGTTTATGTTAATGAAAAGCAGCAGTTTTCTTTCAGGTAAAATTATCCAATCAAAATATAAATATTAATTGGCATAATAATTTTTAAGCACTAGAATTTGAAAGGAATTGTTTTCTGATCAAATTTTTCTCTTGAAAAATCTATCTTGACATAAACTGAAATATGTATTATTGTTTGAGAATGGAATATAGTAAAATTTAGTATAGACTAGTTTCTTAAGTTAATTTAAATTATGTTACTCAGTTTTCTTACACGCTTTATTCGAACGTTGCGCAATTATAATAAAAATAATAGCTTCTATTGCAAAAAATTTCAAATGATTCAAAACTAATAGCTAATAATTTAAAATTGATTAATTTTTAAATATATTAAATTAACAATTTTAAAATAAATTACTTTAAATGTGCTGTATCAAATGATTTTGCTACTCAATCCTAACGTTGTAACGTATTCATATTAACTTGAGCTGCTAGATTTTCTGATCAAAAAATCTTTTCAGACATTCCTTTTTTAAAAATCAGAAACATTTTCTGTTTCTTTTTTATAACTTCAGTACGGCTTAGATGCATTGCTTTAAGAAATAATTTTGATAAAGACTTGATTAATAAAGTTTTTGTCTTAAAATAAAGAAGTTTAAACGCTTTATATGGAAAAGAATTATTTAATCATGACTGCAGATGGTAATATTTTCTTTTATATTATGATACATAATAGTTACAGATTCTGTAACATATGTCAGTTAAATTTTAGTATCTTTTTTCTCCTTTCGTGTGTTATATTTATTAACTTGAAGCATTTTGCTTAATTCACCTAAAAATTCAGTGATTTTGACCATATCTACTTTCATATATAAAAAATATTAGTATTTCTTAAGCTTTTTGATCTGGCCTTCAATGATACCAAATGTAAGATAGATTCACATATTTAGAAAATTATTTTTAGTACTTTCTCTTTTAATCGCATATTATTTTAAACATTGAGCTTTCATACTTTAAACCTTTATATCGATAAATCAGTTAGAAACTCTCATAAATGAACTGATTTTCAATCATATTAAAATTGTGAGCAATGCAATAAAATGACTCCATGAATGTTCTAATTAATAATAGAAACATTTACTTTCCTAAAAGATTAACACTTTTCAAAATTCCATCTTTTACTAGAAGAGGTTGTGTTTTAGCAAGTAACATACAAGTAACATTCTACATAATGAGTATATCTATCAGAGGAATCTGACTGCTTACGTTAGCCACAAATTGTAACGCTTTAATAGCCATCGCTTCAGTGTCCATCTTTCGTTCATTGGACTCTTTACAGCAGGCATTGTTTCAAGCTTTGAAGACTTCTGCTCATAAGTTACATTGAACGGTCAGAATTCTTTGTAAGCTGAAAGATAAAATTGAAACGTAATTACAAAGTCAGCATGATAAATTATATAAAACTCTTCTCTGCATATTCTTTTATGCAGTAAAATATTTATAAGCAAATTTTTATCACAATACGCATTATAATTTATGTTGTATTTCATTTATCAGAGATTTCAAATAGTTGAATATCTTATTCTTTCCAGATAAAGCAAAATTAAATTTACTGTTAATTATTTTATGGACCGTAAACTTTTATTTTGCGGCAATATAAGATAAAATATTAGATTAATTTTAGCTGAAATAAATTTCACTGTTTTATTTAAGAATAATTTTCCTAATTGATTCCAGTATTTAGTAAAAATCAAAAGAAATATAATTTAAATTAAAATATGATATATTAACTAAAACATGGATTTTATGTAAAAAAAAAAAATAAAAAATTTCATTAATGAAAAAATTGCTTTTCTTTTTGTCTCTTCGAAAGTAAAAATATTTTATCATTTTAATCTTTATTTAAATAAAATTCAATAAACGAATAAAAAAATTAAGCTGTTTATTCTGTAGCAAAACATGCATTGGCTGTCAGGAAAAAAAAATCAAATTGGGTCGAATTATCAAATACTGGATGGGCTGTAGTAATACATTTATTAGCTGATAAAATGTTCATCAGATTTACTGGTTTAATGATCATATTACTATAATACATTCATGCAACTGAATTTATGTCTGCAGTAAATGAATAAGCTAATTTAACGTAAAATATTTATTATAAATATGAAAATAGTGCAAGTTATATTACATTTCGCGTTTTTGCTTTTAAATTACTACAGATATTTTTCATTGAATATTAAATTAATTTAACAAATAATATTAACTTTTAATATACACTGGTGTGCAAAAATTAAGGACGAGACGGTTTTTTCAATATAACTTTGTACAAAAGCTTTCCAAATCAACACATTTAATACCGTAAGATCCCCAATACGTAAGGACATGAGTAATGTAAGCAACACTTACTAAAAGAGAAATCAGAGGGATAAAAAGAAGCTTTATTGAAAAAGTAGCATGGAGCACAATGCGACTGAAGGCCGAAACATCCCTGTGATGGGTGTCCAGCAAGAAACATCCGGTCTTTAATAGGGGATATGATCTCCCCTGACTGCTAGGCAGGTTTCGCAGCGTCTGTCCATGCTGAGAATGAGGGTGTCAATGAGTTGTTGAGGCATTGCTGCCCATTCGTCTTGCAGCGCCAATCGAAGCTCCGGAATCGTTACTGGTGGTAAGGTACGAGCTGCCAAGCGTCTGCCTAGAAAATCCCATACATGCTCGATGGGATTGAGATCCGGAGATCGTGCCGGCCAATCCATACGTTCAATATCCTCACTCTCTAAGAGCTGTTCGGCAGCTACTGTGCGATGACATAAAGCGTTGTCGTCCATGAAAAGGAACTGCGGACCCATAGCGCCTCTAAAAAGACGCACGTATGGAAGAAGAGAATCTCGTTACAATAACGGGTCCCGTTGACTGAACCTGCGTCGAAGATGTGAAGGTCTGTACGACTACCAAGCATGATGCCTCCCCAAACGAGAACACCGCCACCTCCATACCTGTCCCTTTCAATGATGTTCGAGGGATGATTGCGACTTCTCCGCTCTCTTCAGATGAGTATGCTATGAGAATCGCTACTCAGACTGAATCTGCTCTCATCTGTAAAGAGTACACGTCCCCATTCATTGTCTCTCCAATTCCGGTGTTCCCGGCACCACAGAGAACGTCTTCTCCGATGGGGAGGCGTTAGAGGTACACACTGTATAGGGCGTCGTGCAAACAGACCACCACCGTGCAGTCTTCTGGCCACGGTAAAATGCGATATCGGTCGTCCAGTCACCTGTGTCGTGTGTCTAGCGATTTCTCCCGCTGTCTGTCGCCTGTTTCTTCTGGCCTGTAAGGCAATATACCGGTCATCTGCGGGTGTGGATCTTCATGGACGACCACTACTAAACTCCCGGATAGCTGTTCCTGTAGTTTGAAATTGTCTCCAAAGTCGTGAAACGATGCTGTGAGCAATTCCGAACTCTGCAACCACACTTGTCACACTGCGGCCTTCCTGCAGCTTCCCAATGATTCGACCTCGGGTAAAAGCATCCAGATGTCGTCTAACAGATTGATTATTCGCCATGAGGCAGCAACTCGGTGTGATTTTAACTGCTATAGGGCGTGCAATCTCTTTGCCAGAAATACTGATCTTTGCCAGGTGCAATCTCTTTGCCAGAAACAACGACAACATACTTTATACTACTCAGACACTCCCCCATTACGTCTATCTGCATATCTGCGCATGTGCTACCGAACATCACCTTACTTAATCTCCTGATTGGTCTTTCTGTCCGCTCTGCCTCTTCGTTCAGCTGACATGCTAATTTTTTCGACTTCGTCCTTAATTTTTGCACACCAGTGTATATCTATAAATCAATAACTCATTAATTTCGTATAACAATCCAGATCGTAACCAGAAACAATGGTTCCTTCTAGTTATAAATCAGCACATAACTCAAACGCATGCCATAACTCAAACGCAAAGTTATGAAGAAAGAAGTGACGCACTTCTAGGAGGAATACTATTATTTACAAATTAGCATGTAGATGACTGAAACATTCCTTTAAATATAGAGTTAGGATACTTTATGTTAAAACTCCTCAACAAAAATGATTATCAGATTTGACAATGGAAAATTTTAGTTCGGAGCGGTGACCAATGCTTTTTCGTATCACTGGTTCATGACACAATTAATAATAATTCGATGTTTTACGTACATTGGAAGATTTCATAATGAAAGAAAATTTTACCATTAGCGCAGAACAGAATACATAAATAAGGCAAAACAAATGCGCTTGTCAGAATGAAGAAAATTAAGACTGAAGTGCAAGGAAAAAAAACTGACGCTGATTTTATAGAGGTACTTTTAGCGACTGATTGAGTAGAAGTACATTTCAATGATTGTTTCTAAAAGAGGCGATATTGAATATCGATTCCAGCGATTCACTAAGTAGAGGTATTTTTAATGATTTATTCTGAATGATGTATTCTGATATTCAATAGTTGAAAGCGCTTTTACTAAAATTCAACGTCAATTAACGTTACTTTGTTACGTTACTTAACAGTTACTTACACAGTTTTACTTAACACCCAAAGGACTCAAGCATATTTTCCCCAAAATAACTCAAGCATATTTTCCCCAAAATAACTCAAGCTTATTTTTAACCCTAAGGGGCTAGTCTGGAATCTGATTTTTTGATCGATTAACTTTTAATGTCCGTATCATTTTAGAATAAACAAATATCATGACGTCGCCGTTGGTTAACCTTAAAAGAATAACGGTATCAGTCAGAAAAACGTATCAGTCGTGCTGGTGAAGTTGCTAGTGTTTACTTGAAGAGCTTTCTAGAATAGCAAGTGATCTGTAGTTTCGTAGTTCTTGAAGTCACCAATAAAAAGTTCTGTTTTCCGTTATTTGGAGAATATAATAAAAAAAAAGAATAAATAGTCAACAGAAGTAAGCGCAAGACCAGACTGATCAAATGTGACGGGAAAAAAAAAAAAAAAAAAAAAAAAAAAAATTAGCGAAAGCGCATAAAACTCTAAAAAGGAATTTTTGGGAACAGTTAAATCTGAATCCTTGCAGATTATTATTATTTTGATTTTGTGACATTCATTCGAAATAAATGCATTCATTTACTCTTATTCACTCAAGTAAATAAGAACAAAAAGGTATTAAAATAAGAGTAAAAATAATTAAGATTATTATTAAGTAAATAAGAGTAAAACAGTATTTTCTTTTTTATTTTATTTACACAAGTAAATAAGAGTACAAAAGAAATTAGAGCCCTTGCAGATTTATTTGGTGCAGCAAATGTTCCTCATCACTAAAGTCTGTAAAATTTCATTTTTACACGATGACTTAAGGTTCTAATATATACTGATGTTCCATGCCAATGTTACTTTAGAATGGTCATGCTTAAAATTGATGTTTACTTATATGCTCTAAAAATGCTGATTACTTTCTAAGGTAGTTTTCAACAAGAGGTGATGACCATGAATGTTTCATTGCATTTTGTTTTATTTAAAAAAAGCATAGAGTTATTTGGTTTACTTACAAAAAGTACAAAATTTACAGATTTATTAGGTGCAATAAATCTTCTTCATCACTACAGTGTGTCTGGTAAAATTTCACTCTTATCCGATCATTCAGAGTTCTGATAGATACTGCTGTTCTATGGTGATGTTATCTTAGAAAGGCCATATTTAACGCCGATGTTTATTTATGCTGTAAGATATACTGACTACTTTCGAAGGTAGTTTACAACAAAGTTTCACTATATTTTGTTTTATTTAAAAAAATTAATTTTCTTAGGTTATGTCATATGGATTATTACGAAACACTTAAGGGCTATCTGCGTAAAGGAGGATGCCTTCGTGGAAGATTTTTTTAAGAAATCTGGCTTCTATTCACTTTGAGGAAACCGCGAAAATTCCTATGCAGCTATCCCGTTCATTGGGATTTCCGAGCCCGAATCGAAGTACCAGTGCTCAGCGGCTTTACGTATCTTTCGGCCACTTCCTCTGCTGTGCCTCTTTATTTCTCAAAGATTTACTATTACATAAACTGGAATAAAAAACAAAGTAATGTTATTACAGCAGATGAATAGTCAGTAGTAATATACTATAATAATAAATAATATTATGAATTATAAGGTTATTAAAAAGTCTACCTAGTTGTAACTCTTAGTCAGACAAAGAAATGAGCAAACTTTGAAAAAAAAATAGCAGAGTTTGTTTTAAAATACTGGAAATAATTTCATAAAGTACTTGTAGTAATATAGATTTCTTTACTCTAATTATTTTTACATTATAACATTACATTACTTGGAGGAATTTTACTTCTGGGAAAAATTTATTTGTGGATTAGTTCTTATAACAGTTTTTATTGTAGAAAGTCTGGAGTTGAAGGTTTTATTTTA